ATGGAGATGGTTAAACTTTGCACGCGCGCGAGTATACAGTCATGGTTAACCTTGTCATCACTAAAACAGTATAAGGATGTTATGTAGCAAAGCTTTACTATTTATTACCCGTTTTATCTTGCTTTTATTGGTAGCCCTATTTCAGTTAGCAAAACTATAAATCTGGCAATTGCGTAGCAGCATCACTCTAGTTAGTGCTTGTGCTCAAGGGACAAGACAGTAAGTGTATCTTCTAGGGAAAAAAGCATTGTGCACATGATGTATTTGAATGGAATTCTTCGTGCAGAATGAACGACGAATAACCTAATTAAACAAATGCCAAGTATAAAGCGTAAAACAAAACTTCAATAAGGTAACAATTCAGATTAAATTTTCGTGCATTTTGCACGGTGCGGGTCAAGCGTCTGTTCGACTAAATACAAACCCGCTGTACCCCACCTACATTCCCGGAAGCAGCGGGTGCTCAAGAATAATAGTTCATTGGACTTTTAAATTAAATTTTGAATTTGAAACGATTTTTCTAGTTTTTCAATGCATTTAATTCTTTCGCGAGCCACTTTAATAAACTATAGTATACAAATCTAGTATATTCGGTATCAAAAGGAGGTATTTTGCCTCCTTTAATATGGATACATCGTCGTACTTCGTTGAAAACCAGGAAGGGGGCTCTCTGCTTCGTTTTATCGCTAAAGTGTTGAATTATAGTGATATTTGAAGTAGCCCATCTTTTAGTCATCCAATTCGATTGTGGGTAAATATATCAACTCCATACAAAGTCGCATGGTTCATCAATTATGCCAATAGTAGATGCTTGCATCAAGGCAAAAATTCTCACGACCAAGCTTTGAATTTTTTTTATTTACTAGAAAGTAGTCCAGAATGACCTCGTCATGACTATTTCGCATTGCCAGAGGGTGGTGGCAGACTCTCTCGCCGCAGCCGAGGCTACCTCACCCCGGGCTTTTACACGACGTGAGGGCTTGAGGGTCTAACCACCTTTTACTTGTTCGCAGCATTTTTGATCAATCGGACCAAGTTGGCCTTTTCGATGAGTTTTTTCATGTTCGCAGTATCCGTCCGTGGGATGATTTTGTTGATACTCGTGGTTGCGGCTTTGAAGATCCCACCGTTCCCGTTCCCCGTGGCCTGGACAACTTCTTGGCCTGCGACTCGAAGGGATCTCTTGGCCTGGACCGCCGACCCTGGAGATGTCTTCAACAAGAGCCCAGTCTCATTGGGATGAGGGAGCACCGCGACGACGCTGCTCCAAGCTAAAGCCGCAAAGACAATAGCAAGGTAGAATATACTGCGCATGACTGAAGAGGGGGTGTACGCTGGATGGAAATGGCTTGCAGTCTTGAAAGGAAAACGTGAAGTGACTGCTGGTTAGTGTGACTCTACCAGTGAACGTTCGTCGCCTTGAGCAACACGCACATTCTTGTTCAGTCGGATTCAGACTTTGAAGCCGTAAACAATAGCGGCGCACTGG